GCTCCCTTGGCTCCAGCGCAGACCAGCCTGATGTTCACCCCAGGCTGCAATGAATCTTCAATAAATGTTGGCGCAAACTGGAGCAGAGGATGCTGCACAGTGGCCCAATACAAGCGAGGACATACTTATCCCGGAAGGCCCCTAAATAGTGGAGAAACAAGCGCTGTCCTCGGCATAAACGCAAAATGAAACAGAAACGCCAGAGACAAGCAGCACTCAGGTCAGGACGGAGATCTCCCAGATGGGCTGTGGCACTGAGCAGAACGCGGCATTTTACTGTCGGTACAATAACATTTACGTTTACAGGCAGTACTTTTAGGAATTAGAAATCTTTATCCGTGACTCTATTGATATTTATTTGTCACTATATACAGACTTTGACCAATCAAGATATATTAAAGTCAGTAGTCTGTAGTGCATCGTAGTCACGGTTTAGTATCAGGGAGGTTTTGCCTATCAGGCTGATCACACTATCTTCACATTGGGATGACCTTATAATCTGGATAAGAGTTTTGATATATATATATATCTTTGTAACTTCATAATTAACTACACTACTTACTATTTCTATCATTATAGTTCCAGTACATGCTCAAATCACTGGATTTCCAGTGATCCGAGCTTTCTTTTCGGTACATCTATATAGTAACTGAACAAAGGGACACAAGGTCTCTCTCTTGGCTTTTCTTCCTGTACAGCTATGTAACGATGTAACTCTCCCTTCAGGAGTCCAGCAATTACCATCTGCTGTTGAACATCCATGATCATGTAACATCCTTTTTTATTTTATTATCAGGGCCGTCTTTAACATGGGGCAAACGGGGTAGCTACCCCGGGCCCAGTTACTCCTGGGGGCCCAAGGCAGCTACCCATGGGCCCCGCTGCCCTAAAAAAAAAAAAAATGTTCCCCGGCCGATTTAGGCGGGCCTGCACTGTAAGGAGTCCCACCAAGTGGCCCATGCACTTAGGGCCACCCATTGGGCTTGTACCAGCAGGGGCATGGTTGGGCGCAACCGGGCCCCTTGCTTTTCTGTCAATGCATTGTTGGAGTTGTACGACCGATAGGGTTCTACCTTCTTTCCAACCTTGCAATTGGGGGTCCCAATGAAATTCTTGCACCAGGGCACTTTCTACTTTAGTTCTGCCACTGCGTTGGGGTTGAGGCGTAATTGAATGCCAGGGAATGGGTCGAGGTGGCCAAAGCAAATGCTTGCCCAGGGCCCAATCAATATTAAAGATGGCCCTGTTTATTATGTATCAGTAACTAAGAATAAACTGTAAGAAATCGTAAGTCAGATTGCGTATTGGTATTTTTGGTTAATATAGACGTATATTAACATAGCGAGCCTTTTACCCAAGAAGAAATATATATATACCTCCATATAACTGTTCAATCCCATTCTCTGTTCTTCAGGCCTCACTCAACTCAGTGAAGCACTGCATTTTTTCTCCCCACTTCCCACCCACCCTCCCCTCCTACCGCCCACCCAGGCTCCCCCTAAATATATAGCATGCTCCTCCAGCTGTTTGAGATTCTCATTCAATTACGTCTTCATTCCCTTTGTATTTTACTAATAGCTGCTTCTCTGTTAACTTTTTCAGCCATCACCTCCAAACTTCCCCTGCTACCTCTTGTCCCCATGGTATCCTTTAGATTGTAAGCTCACGGGCCATCTAGCCAAGCACTTTGTATAAAAGAGCTCCAATGTCTAGATATCAGCTTAAGGGGAATGGCTATCTCTACCTCTTGTATTTGTCTGTGTATATTGTACGTTTCTCCACTAATTATAGAGCGCTGCGGAATCTGTTGGCGCTTTATAAATAGCAGTAATAATAATAAATATATATATATATAAAATAATTATTTAAATCAACTGGAAAGAGACACAGAAGAAATGGAATTTATAACAGCCTCACAAGTTTCTTGCTATATGTATATACCTATGTCCCATTTACCTGTATCTCCGTTGTCACCACATTGCGTTCTTATGCCCCCATACAGCCATGTTGATGTTGCCACCAATCTTGTACTTCTTCGGGTTTTATCATTACACGCTCTTTCTGTGATCTCATCCTGGTTAAATCTACGCAACCCTTAAGTTTAATTTTATGGCAAGACAGGAGGCTTCATATTTGCTTTATTTTCTTTATTGAATCCTCCCAGCAGCAAAAAAAAGTTAAAAAATTGAAAACAAAATCAACCAATCAGAAGACATCTAGACAGTAATTTGTGGCTTTGATATTCCTCCCACTGCCTCTTTCTTTGTTGCTTGCCTGCCAGGTGACTATTCTAATTCCACTGGCCTTGGTGCTGTATATGTTGAGTACCTCAGTTTTTTACCATAACATTGTTTTAATTGTATTATT